TATTTTGTCGAAATGGGTTAACTGTCAAATGTGCTATTTGTTTAAGCATGCATTGATTTTCTTTATTCCAGTGAAGCTATTGAAACTTCCATCGTATATGAGGGAACCGTCGAGAATAAAAAAAGTTCCAAATTAAATTTTGTATCAAATTTGAACCCTTTACCAATCGATTGAGGAATGTGAAAACTAACATTCAATTTTGATCGAGGCCTGCGCCTTGAAATCAGACTTAGAAAAATTCAGTATTTTCCATAATTTAAGCAATTCCCTACAAAAAATGGCGAGAAAAGCTCCAGCTAGGGAAACTGTACGTGCCGGACATGCCAAGGCCTCCGGGAAGGCCGAGTTTCAGACTGTATTACAGAGCAGACTTGGAACTACTGCACACCTTGTCATCGCGTTGTGTATGCAGTGAACTTAACTCTTCAAATAACTGCGTTTGGTAAACGAAGATATCCATGGATGATTTTAAATTGAAACATTGCCGGATTGTGCAATCACAATCTATTGAATGTTTAGCAAGATGTTCATTAATTGAAGGGGCAGCTATGATTTGGAAGAAAGTCGGAAGCGATAGAAGCATGTTTAAGCTACTCTATTGTATCAGTAAATTACTTTTTAATATCAGTATCGTCCATGACATCGTGGTCACGTCAGTAAATATGAATGAATATGAATAAATATGAATTCCTACGTAAAGTAAAAGCCTTACATTTGAACATCATATGTGATACGTCTTGATAAACACATTGTTTTTCATCAATACTGCCACTAATTATATCAATCAAACTATTCTTCGAAATAAAATCTTAGTATTAAGTCCGAATTATTGAAAGAGAAATAATTTTGAAACTTTTGGGGGGATATTCGTATCTATAAGTATCAAATTACTCGTAAAAGGAAATTAACTCATTACGAGATAAGTGGTAACGCTTCAAAAATAACAAACCTTCATTTTTATTTGGAGCTGACACTGTGCAGGAATGCAAGTTGTGAATCAACCTATGAGGAGAAAGAAGACGAGTTTTATTAAATTACACGTGTATGATTGTAGCAGCATGCCACAGAAATAAATTTTTAGGAAATGAAACCAAAGACCTGGAAAGTAAGTCGTTACTGTTGTAGTGAAGCCAGTAACTTGGCGATGAGATGACGCTATCAACTCGTCGCGTTGGACAGAGCAAAAGTGTATCTCTCTCTTACAAATTCAACGGGTCATTAGCGAACAGTGCAGATTATCAAGGCCAACTGCTCACAAAACACATTTGCAAGGCTGTCAAGTCGAATTTATTTCGATTACGTGTAGTTTCATTCAGTAATAATACACCACAAATGTTCAAAAATTCAGTTCAAATAAATATCTGCTAATTTAAGAAATGTCAGCCTCGAGCTCAAATAAAGGGCTACTTAATCTCGATTGGAATTAATTTCGATTACTGATTAACAAAGTTAATTAAATGTCAATGTAGATAAGAAATTGTATGACGTGGATAAGAAAACCCTAAAGGGAGCCTTCAAGTTGATCAGTTCTCATGTAAATAGTCCACAAACATTTAATAACTGCCCGCTCGCACCAGCCATCTTACCTTGGTCACCGATGGCGCGTATGTGCTGCAGGCGTCGGACGTTAGGTAGAGCAGGTATAATGGGGGTAACAGGAAAGAGTTTATGTATCCGGGCCAAGGCAGTCTGGGTTTTGCGCGTCCCCCATTTCTCCACCACGGCTTGAATGCCTCATTGCAAGATAGTTGTAGCAGCATATCAACCTTCAGAAGATTGTTTAGCCAATTCAGAATAGTTATTTGCTGCGTAATTTGAACAGATACTAAAATAGTTTATTCACTGTCATACGCTGTTCAGTATCCACTTTTTAAATCTTTGCCATTAAATGGAGTGCGTCAGCGCAAAAGCTAGTCTATTGGTCTTGATATCTTGAATACCTACCTATATGATTTGAAATTTTCATCGTCTATCAATGAAATGAGGAATCAGTGCTTAATGATATATTTATTGTATCTCTTCATGTTAGTACAAAATTCGTATCTATAGTTACCCATGCAAACAAGCACGTACCTATATAGTTACCCATGCAAATACGCACTGATAACGTCGACAATAAATTATTCGAGAATTCGTGAACATGTGTGGCTTGTTTATTAACTTTAACAACACAGCAAGTAAGATAATAAGTTATATTAAAAGTGTATACACTTGCCCATGTTTCACAGAAGTTTGGTCCTCTTGCGAAAACTAATACAATCCTCATCTTATACGCACCTTGCCACATGACGGTCTGCAGATACTTCCAGCAAGGTTGTTGCAGTTTTTTAGGCGCCGTGCAACAAGTCAGTCCAGTTTTTATACTTTTATATGCAAAGTCGTCTTGTCAAATAAATAAACTTATACCTGTGCTTATGCGAAATTTTTTGCTCGTTTGACCTAGATGCTGAAGATGGACCTAGATGCTAAATGGATGAAGATATTTTTTTGCTCGTTCTTGTACGTCCGAACCTTGAGTTTGAAAACGCCTTCTGGTCACCGAAACTTGAACATGACAAAAATATAGTCGAGAGTGTTCAAAGACGTGTAACAAGGATATTTCCAGGCTTAAAGGGCAAGTTTTATGAAGAAAGATTAGCGATTTTGCAGCTTCCAAGCCTCTGTTATATATCGACGTCTGCGTGGTGACCTCAGTGAAGTATACAAACATACCCACGGTTTATAAAAGGTCCCAGGAGGATTACTACAATTTAAAACAAGAACAAACACCAGAGGACACGGCTATAAACTAAAACACTGCGTTGTAACACATCCATGCGACAACATTTCTTCTCGCTTCGAGTCACCGACATGTGGAACAACCTCACTGATAGCATCGTTGACGCGCCACGTATGAACGCCTTCAAGAAAATACCATATAGAAGATAGATTAAGCTATTCAGGAGCATATGATTAGTCATGAAACGCCTAGCAACATACGGGCCTTGCAATAAGTCCAGCAGCTATCTCAATCAATCGTCAGTTGTCGAAAGATCGGGTTCAAAAGGCAGGATCTTTTGTGGAATCATGTCACGAAAAATACATTAATCGGCAACAGGCCATGGGCCTATTTCTTCAGTGCCGACACTTCTATTCTATGAGACAGACAGGGCGATAGTTACCGAAAGAAACCCTTGTCACCTTATTTGAACAATGGTGTCACTTGAGCTTTTTATGCCGACAAAATCCCTTCGTTCAAGGTTTTTTGGAAGAACTCTGTCAAAGGGCCGTCCAGGACGGTTGCTAATTCTTTGAGCAATCTAGGGTGGAATTCGTCTGGTCCACATGACTTATCTGGGTCCAAAGCGACCCGGCGCTCGAGAACCTCTTGTTTGTGTATTTCAAAACCTGTTAAATTCGAGCCTGCTTGGCGCTAATCAATAGCTGGAATGCTGTCAAGTCCTCATCTGTGAACACACGGCTGTAGAACTGATTAAGAACGTGTCCCATGCCATCATCAGAGGATATCATCTTTGATCTACTTTCAGATGATAAATACCGTCGTTTGTCTAACTCTAACACTTCAAACTAGCGTACAAAAAGAAGGCTTTCGAGGAAGTTTTTGGCGTTTTTGGCTATATTTATTTCAAAGTTTGCGCTCACATAGTCTTATTTACGCTTGAATTGAACTCTATGGAGCATGCGCGTATAGTTGGTTATCACGTTGTACTGGTTTCAGTGAGCGCATTTTAATTGAATCATCTCAGCCTAGCTTCTTATGCCTCCTTATATGCTCGGTCGCACTCGTCACTGGCGGGCAACACCAGCTTATACGTACGTTCCATCACCTCGATCCACATGACCGCAAAAACAGACACAAGTGCGCCCGACTACCATGTTTAATTCCTCCATTATTCGAAGAATTAACAAGAACAGACATAAGTACTTCTCTGGCCAAACAGTAATTTCATTATTCGTGAATTTTTCATTCATTATTGTTTGCTAACTTTTACTCGGTGGTTCTCTTCACTGGAACATTTTTAAACTGCTCTGAAGGGCAGAGAATTAATTTATTTCTGTGATTTGATTACCTGGAAACATAATTTATTACGTTTAATTAGACGAAACTTCTGAATCGACGTAATATGTAATCAGGAGTGATTGAAGACGCCAGGAGTGATAGAATCAGATAACTAGGGTAACATGGGGCAACGGGATCACTGCGGGTCATGGGCCCATAGCGGATTTCCCTCTAAGTATGGCAGATATTGGGCCGTGCGCTCTACCGCCGGTCGACAGTTTTACTGGGCTGAAGTGTACGGCTCTACGTTTTGCTAGGAGTTTGCGTTGATGGGTGGATGGATAGCTAGAGGTCAGCATAGCCCAAGTCCACAGTGCGATTCCTATACCTCCCCGAGCAATGCAGCCGGGCATCTTCACGGCTTTTGACACAAAGCGCCCACCACAACAGCGTTTTACACAGTGCGTTTTTTATCGTTAGAAAATTGAAATTGTGTGGTCTGATTCATACGTTAAAAATCTTTAATTTGACGAACACCTAAGCAATTTCGAAATTATATTTTGGCCGTTCATATGTTGGTCTAAATAACAAGTCAAGAGATTGTTTTGCGTTTGAATGTCAGTAACTAAATTGATAATTGTTTTGAAATCTTATCTGTTATAGGTATAGTCATCGAATAATTACATAAATAGTTTAAAATATAATTTTCGTCGCAGCAGGTGTAATGAAGCCATACCGTTCTGATCATGTACTTACATAAATCGCCGAGGACTTCAGGAATTTGAATTTGTCACAAATATTCCCTCAGGTGCACATGTTTAGCGACTCTTCCTACCATTTCAAAATCCCTAACGTGACGTGCATTAATCCTGGCGTTCGTCTTAGTGCGCCTGAAGATTTCGACACTTTTGACGTCGTGCGAAATCCCCTTTCGCTTCTGAAAACTATCACTGATGCGGCAGCAAACGATGCAGAGAAAATGTTCAATTCAGACAAAACCATGAAAATCTTCGAGCGTCGGGGAGAATACGACTTGATCGTGATTGATCACTTGGGCTTGTCGGTAAGATTCTCTAGTGAGCATTTAGCAATAATTAAAGGATCTATAAAGCATTAGCCTTCTCGAAAGTCACTTTGCTTCCAATTTTTAAACGTCATTAATTTTGAAACAGAAAGCTCATGAAAACTTCTCCTGCTCAGCTCTCCTTTGACATCAGAAATCCTTTGAATTTTATTTCTAAATTCAATGTGATTTGCAAGGTTTTCTTGAAAATTAATATAGACTATTAATTATTTTTGATTCCAATTTTTCTATTTCAATACAAAAGTAAGCTTGAATTATTACCAGTTGTTATTCGAGATTTTTTTAACTAAGCTAACCTCAACGCAAAATGAAATAGTTTATCCAAAAGAATTCATAGCAAACGTATATTCCAATATTCGTTTTTTGTTATTTCAACTGCATTCACCTCATTGGTTATTAATAAATTGTTCGTTCTTAGCAATTTTCCGCTTGTGGCGTTAACTGGATAATATGTTTTCGGCACCGCGTTTTAATCTAGCACGAGGAAATTTTCGTCTTCATTCTTTAGCTCTTACATATACAGTATTCTTTAAACTTTTAAGTGGTCATCAAGCTGGTTTCTGAAAATTTTTCATGAAAGATTTGCTCAAGTGACTTGTACTCATGCTATCTCTGCTTTTAGATTCTTCGCTTATTTGCTATTCTAAGAAAATAATTATACAAAAAATTTGAATTACATTCTATTATATGTAACATCTTTACACTTGCAGATCTTCTACCCTTTCGCGCACGGCACGCCGTTCGCAATTTTTTCGACTTCAGCTCTCCTGCCATGTCAGAGCGCAAGCTTGGGGAACGTCCCAAATCCAGCTTTCGTTTCAAGTGCTCTCATGGAATTCAAGCAACCTTATGGAACTTTCGACCGGCTCAAGAACATTGTACTGACTTTCGCTCAGTGCTACGTTTATTGGGCGATCCCTTCACAAACAGAAAAACTGGTGAGATACTCGTACGCGTCTAATCCATTCAAATCTAAGTGTTTGAATGAGGATTTTCTTGGCATTCTATGTAAGAAAATATTTTCAAGGAATTGTCCAGGATATAATCGAGGATATTTTAACTATTCAAAGAGACATATTGCAGGGATAAAATTAATAGTCGCGAGGAGATAGCGTTTCTTTTTCCACCTCGGTGCCACGGCATTTACAAAGGAAATCATACATCATTAGAAATGAAGATAAATATCAAAACTCGCTACTAACTGTAAGCGATCGAACACTTTAGCTTGACATTTGCTTCTAGACACGGAAGTCAGCCAAAGTCTTTCTTTGAATTTAATTTGTTATCAGTAACGTCAATTAGGCTCAAGATTAAATTATCCATATATATAATAGTTTCTACTTTAAAGTGTCACTGGCAACGTAGAATTGAACTCATTTGCTCTACAGATGAGCGAACGCTTCCCATCGCTTCCGTCACTGAAAGAAATCGAACGGAATGCGAGCCTGCATCTCCTGACGACCAGCTTAGCGTTGGATGGTCCGCTGGCTCTGCTACCTAATCAGGTGCCCATCGCCGGACTCGTGCTGATGCCGCCACAACCTCTACCCAAGGTTTCTTACTTACTACGTTATAGTTATAAGTACATGAGTATCGTTAATAGAATGAACTTACATAACAATAACACATTACGAAAAATGATAACAATAGAATAACGTACATTTGCACCTGCAGGAATATGAATAACGGCTTTATGAATCATGCGTGTTGGCAGTCCAGCCATATAAACCGCGAGTGGATATATTCTGTTAAAACATTTCTTGCAATGTTATAACGGGAAAATTTCCGATCTTCAGACTATCCAAGTCCTCGAAGACATTTGTTAATAGATAATATCAATTTGTAGTGCTTCAGTATTAAGAGTTTTTGAAATATTAAAAACCAAAACTTCTTTCTCACAGCATTTGGATAACTTCACCAAGAATTTTTCATTTCAGGACATATTAGACTTCATGTCTGGCAACACGTCGGTTATATACATCGGTCTCGGTGTATCGTTCATACGTAACGATTCAATTCCTCGAGACAAAAAAGATATTCTGCTCTCAGTCTCCAAGAAGCTTCCATACAAAGTCAAAATGAATGTGCACGGACAAGCAAGTAGTAGGAGCGGCAATGTCCTTACAGGCAATGCTCGTCAACAGGATATTCTAGGTGAGTTCTAGCAAACATAGCATTTTCAAGACCGCTCATTGTATGTTTAAAATGATAAAATGTTTGTAGGCCTATGAATACTTAAAGCTTTTTCATATACAGTATCTAAGCACGAAAAGTATTACAATTTTACATTTATGTCGTTAAAATGCATTCCACTGTTCATTTCTATATATGGGTACACATTTTGATTGATTTATGCTAGTGCATAAATTGCGTGTAGGATAATAATTTTTCTCCAAGAGCATTCAAGAAATGTAATGTCCGATCGCTGCATTAAATGAAACATTGTATAAATATAATCATAATTTTGTTTATTACAGCGCATCCAAACGTGAAGCTGTTCATTAGCCACTGCGGTCTAGCAGGCGTCTACGAAACTGTTTACCACGGCGTGCCTGTGATCGCCCTCCCCGCGGCTCCCGAGCACGGAGCCATGGCGGGGAAATTAGTGCTGGCTGGTGCAGCCATCCAGCTGTCCTGGCTCACCCTAACTGAGGAGATCTTACGTGACGCCGTTATGGAAATCATGATCAATCCAAGGTAAATAATCAAGAATTTCGTCATTTTATTGATATTTGTTTGTTGGTTTATGTGTTTGATGCTTGACTCGGGAAACATATAGAGGCCGTTCGAGCGCGTATCCACGATACTTATCGTGTCCCAATATTACTGGATTTGGATTTTATTCATGATGGGGAAGAGTACCGCACTGCAAAACGGAAAGTTTAATAAGGGGAGCGTGTCGGTAAAGAATCGAAAATTTTGGCTTTTCCGGTTTCTTGGCTTATTTTGTAGCTGCTGAAAATGCGCGTCTATAACGCAGTAAACCGCATGCATAATATGTGCGTGTTTTAGTTTTTGCGTAAAACACTTTCGAAAATATATAAAATGAACATTATTAATAATATGTAGAACGATTTCTTTAGATTAAATCTGTATTTATAGATCATTATTTTCCTTAATTGCAAAGTGATTGTTACTGTTTGAAAGCTCCTAACAAGACGCGTTTAACTAAGTTAATACCACGGATGTACATGCAATGTTTTTTGCGTTAGTCCGTTTTGAACTTATATAAAATGAACATCTTATATATAATATATATATAAAAAGTCACATTTGTAGCTTTTTATTCATGTTAAACTGGAACAGAATGAGTCTCAAGACGCGTGCTGGTACCCAAAATGCAACTAATTGACAATGGGAAAGCTTGGGCCACAATATCAAACAATTTTCTTGACATGTTCTTCTTTTTTTTCAATAAATTTTACTTATTTGGTTCCCCTGAACAGTCAAAATTTCCATAATACAGTATGCCATCTTGAAAATTTATCTCCTATAATTTTTAAGCTACAGCATTAAGAGATATACCATTCGATTCGGCAAACAACTATAGAAATCATCCGGTCATTTTTTATTCCTTTTTTGTTTTGATTATATATTGAAAAAGAGGGGGAAAGGGGTTAAAATTGGAGAAAAATCTGGAAAAAAATATAAAAAATGAACGGATGGTCTTTATATATGATCTTTATGCATCGAATGATATATATGTCTCTCGATGTTGTAGCTTGAAAATCCTATGAAGAGATTGAATTTTACAGTTCCCTCTCATGTGCCGTTTGCTATGAATTTTACGTTTTTTTTCATTTTTTGTTTGAAAAATTTGCATGATTCAAAAGTCAATGATTTCGATTTTACGTATGTCTCAAGTTTCATAATGATCCGTCCGTAAATAAAACAGTTTTTATTAATCTAATCAACTTAAGATTAGATTAAAAATTTACTTAATTACTAATACAATTGTTTATTTTTAAAACAGGAGCCAATTAGAAGATCGATGTAAAATTTGGGTTTGAACGGGTCTTTCTATGATAAACAAACATCACTTTTATTAATATACACATCAATTAGCGCAATATAAATACCTAAATACGCGCACTCAGTTAATCAATACCTCATCCAAGTTACCTCATACCTCATCATACCTCATCAATACCTCATCAATACCTCATCATCACTCTGTCGTTGCAACCGTGTCTTCTAATACTGTAATCTTGCTGTTCATTTATTCTTGCCAAGGTGGATTACATTAAATTTATCAGCGTTAAAAAGCAGCTGCCACTTATCAGCCCAGTCAACCAGCCTGTCAAGATCACCTTGTAACTGTACTTTTTGCGACGTATTCTTCACTGTATTACTAATTTTTGTGTCGTCAGCATACATTGAGCACAAGCTAGACACAGCTTCTGGCAGATCGTTTATAAACGCAACTAATAGAATAGGCCCGAGAACGCTTCCTTGTGGCACGCCGCTGAGCACTGGAGCCCAGTCTGATACGGACCCATTAATACTGACACGTTGGCGTCTCCCTACTAGAAAATCTCTGATCAATTTGAGTACATTGCTGTCAATTCCCAAAGATTGCAATTTCCGCAACAGCCGCTCATGTGGGACACTGTCAAATGCCTTAGCAAAATCGAGGTACACTGCATCTACTGGCTCCCTTTCGTCCAGCAGACGGGTCCATTCGTTCAGAGTAGACAAGAGGTTAGTGGTGCAGGATCTCCCGGCAATAAAGCCATGTTGACAGTCTGATAGGAGATTATTAGCAGTCAAATGGTCTATCAATCGATCCCTCACAACAGATTCCATTACCTTGCAAACGACACTTGTCAAACAGACAGGGCGACAGTTGTGTGGGCAGCTTTTATCACCTTTTTGAATAATGGTGTCAAATGAGCTTCTTTTCAGCCGGCAAGATCCCTTCGTTCAAAGTATTTCGGAAAAATGACGTCAGAGGGCCAGCTAGGACAGTTGCTAACTCTTTGAGTAATCTGGGGTGGAAGCCGTCTGGTCCACATGACTTGTTTGGATTTACAGCGATAAGGCGCTTGAGAACCTCTTCTTCTTGTATTTCAAAACTTGTTAATTTAGAGCCGACTAGGAGTGGGTGCTCCTCAATAGCTGGAATACTGGTCAAGACCTCTTCAGTGAATACGCTACTGAAAAGTTGATTAGGAACGTTAGCCTTGCCCTCATCAGAGGATATCTTTCGTTGATCTACTTTCAAATCATAAATACCGTCCTTAATCTTGCACTTCGAGCTAGCTTACAAAAAAGGCTTTCGGGTTCTTTTTTGCATTTTTAGCAATATTTTTTCGATGGTTTTTATTGCGGTGCGACAGCTTTCTTTAGCTTGATTTCCAGCTTTTGCGTATAGGTTATAGTCAGCATCGCTACGAGTCTGTAAATAACGCTGGTAGGCTTCCTCTTTTGTATTCAGCTTAGCTAGAACTGTACTGTTCATCCACTGAGTTTTTTTGGCTCCACCAAGCTTAATTTTAGGTACACACGCATCAACTGCAGACATAACCGTGTCCTTGAGAAATGACCATGACTAAGTCACATTCATGTCCTTAATACAGTTCGAAATATTCACTGCATTCACTGCTTCACGGAGTTTATCATAGTCGCCATTCGCAAAATTCAAACGCTCACGCTTTCGAGGCTTCTTCACTGTACAGCACTTTAGACTGAAAAACAATTATTGGTGATGGCTTTTGCCCAATGGAGCTTCGTGACGAAGCTCATCTAACATCGATTCATCACTAGTAAACACCAGGTCTAGAATATTGGGAGTCTGTTTACTTCTATAATGGGTTGGCTTATTAAAGTGCTGAACTAGGAAGGAGTCTCTCACAGACTCCATGAACAAGGATGCTGGGTGATTCTCATCCCTTGGAGAGGATCCATCTGTCCAGTCTAGCTCTGGATGATTAAAATCACCAACGATCAACGTGTGTGACCTACGGAAAGCCATGCTCGGTAAAAGACTGTTTAGTACTTTATCGTTA